GTACTGCACACACTGTACTCCACTTTCCCCTTAAGTTTTGCATCAATGAGAAATTGGCCAACGAGAAATGAAAAGGTGGAAAGATGTCAGGCTGAAGAATGATGTCACTGGAAGCCGTTGTTTTTATCCTGTATGTAGGCAGTTCGGGATATTGGCCGCTTGATGCTGGCTATGGGAGTGACAGCATCCGTCTTTAGACAGCACTGCTTGCCCCACATGAAAAATGGCGTAGAAACGGAGGCCTTACCAAAGCTCTTCTCCATTCCTTCCAGTTGATGACCTCAGCCAACAGGTCATCGAGCACTTACAGAAAGGCAGATGCATGCCTCAAATGGAGTACAAAAATTAAAGCTTACATGCTGGAATAACTATGCTTGATATATTAGATATTTACGTTCAGAAAGTGACTGTTTTTTTTTTTTTTTGTTTTTTTTTTGTACATGAACTGGATCACAATTGCATATTGACATTGCCACTCATAGCGAAGGAAGGCAGCATTTAAGAACTTAGAGCTGGCTCCACTCTCAACTGGTCAGGCAAGTTAAAGACAGCTCAAATGCCTTGTGAGTACCTTTAAAATGAGAAACTCAATGGCCAAAAAATCAATAATACAACAACTGGTCACTCCGATCGCGTCATCTCCACATGCCTCACTTCAAAGCAAGCATCATGTTACTTTCGTCAGCATTTATGCCCCGTCCGTTCAAGCTGACTCTAAGGGCAAGTTTTACACTGATCGTATCAGCCTCGTACAGAACACAGGGGCGGATTTAGGGGGGGGCGGCCCGGCCCCGGCCCCCCTTTTGGGAGGTAAAAAAAGAAAAAAAAAAAGAAAAAAAAGAGAGAAAAAGAAAAAAATGATGGCCAAGAATGCCTCAAATGTTATGTTCGGGCGTCTAGAACACAAAAATTTCGCGGGGGCATGCCCCCGGACCCCCTACGACAGTGTTGTCTCAATCGGCCCAACTTTCGGCCCCCCTTCCGGCCCCCCCTTTTGGACATTTCTGGATTCGCCCCTGGAACACCTCCACAGATGGCAAGGTCAACATCCTCGAAACACTAAAAGGGAGAAGTTTCAGGTTGGTAACTTTTAGTCAGTTGCAATACGAGCTGACATCCAGGTGAAACCTCAATCAAAGCTTTAGGATGCAAGTTACACTGCAAACTTCTGTCCAGAATTATTTTGTCACACCTGAAAACTGCTATTCGCCAGACCTTAGAAGAAGTCCAAGGGTTCTCTACAAGGAAAATCAAAGACTGGTTTGAAGAAAATGACAAGGAGTTCCAAGATGTACCGGGGAAAAGGATATCCGCCCACAAGAGATACATCTTACTCAGCCGATGAAAAAACAAAAAAACATTTCATATTACCTACAGCAACGTTTGGTGTAAACTACGAGAAATCCAAAACAATTTGTGGATAAACCTCGCAGCGAAGACTCAGCTTTATGCAGTTACTAGTAGCTACAAGAAGGAGTTTTACAAAACACTGAAGGCAGTATGCATCTCTTCATACCAGATTCATTTCTTCCTACCAGATTCGAAGTCATTTGAACAAGTCTCTTTTCTATGTTTTGTCGTAAGTTTCATTCATTATTATGAATTAATTTTAATACTATTACTATATCCTGTCATTTGTTATTGAGCTATTCTGTAAAATTTAAAACCGAAATGTCGAATTCTTATACACATCTAGATGTGTATAAGAGACAGCACACTTTTATACTGTATTATAATCAGGCCAAACTCATGTTTTTGCCATGAATATTGACGGGATAAACGCAATTTAATGCCAGTATATTGCTTTTTCTAGAACTATTCATAGGAACATTCCCATGCTTTGCTGCTATGGAAATACAGACTGAATCAAAGTGTACGTGTCATTGATCTTGCTGCCGGCCGAGTTATGCATAGCTCAAACCAGTGTTATAACCAGGCCAAACTCATGTTGTTGCCATGAGCATGGAGGAATAAATTCGTAGTTCGCAATATGCCAGTACCTGCTTCTTCTAGAACTATTTATAGGAACAGTCCCAAAGTTCTGTTGCTATGGAAATTGACTATTAGGGGTCACTAGTCATTGGTCCGAAGGTCCATTGGTCCGACGGTCCATTGGTCCGAAGGTCCATTTGTCCGAAGGTCCATTAGTCCGAAGGTCCATTGGTCCGAAGGTCCATTAGTCTGAAGAGCCATTGGTCCGAAGGTCCATTAGTCCGAAGGTCCGAATGAGAGTGTCTTTTCCGGTCATCTAGAAGTTCTATATTTTAAAATTTCCTACCCCAACCGTGGTGGGTCTGAGGTAAAATTAGACTGGTCAAGCCCTCCTCCTCCTCCCAATTTTAGGGAAAAAATGTGGACGCTCTTGTTTTCATTGTGATAAGGTCCAAAATTTTATGATCACGACCCCCCCCCCCTCCCCAAAAAAAAACCCCCCCCCCCCCAAAAAAAAAACCCCACTAAAAAAAAATCCTGGATACACCACTGTAGGCGCTATATTTGTGAAACGCCTCTCACTTAAATTCATAGTATTTTGTACAGAGTTAATTGACTTAAACAATGCTACATTTTTCATTGCAACTTTTTTGGTGACTGATTATAAATATTGTTATTTAAATATTTATATTTAAATAACAATATTTGGCGTTTTAATACCCAAATAATCTTTGTCATCGTCGCCAACATCCTCATCATCATTATAATCGTCAAGATCATTCGTCACCTTTGTTAACATTATCAGCAGGAGAGGATCCAGAAAAAAATGCTAGTAAGGGATAAAAGTATCAAAAAGGTTTTAATAATACCATTTAAACACTAAAATATCATTATAAGGTCTTTCCATTCTGCATTTAAATTATCCACCTTACAGTATTTCTTAATTGTTTAGCCTTTTCCTAGACATTTTAGGGTCCTTTGTTTTAAGTGCTTTTTTTATATTTTTTACGTTAGGTCAAATTTTGTTAAATATTCTGCCTTTGCTTTGGGTAGTCTAAAAAATTGCCTACAGAGCTATTGAGTGGGGTGTGTTTATTTCTACCGATAGTGCTTTCCATCTTCGTCAAACATATTCATTCCTTTAATAGATTACCATTTTTAATGTAAAGTAATATACCACCTTGCCTATCAAGTCTACAGATTTCATGAACTTCGATTAACACTTCGTTGTTGTTAATATTATCACCAGTAAATTCCGGTTTAGTTTCAGCCAGCCACGATGGTCCTCCGGTGATAATCGTTATTGAACCTACAGAAATTTTATAAACAAATTT